TTGTCGTCGTTGTCCTTGTCGTCGTGTTGTTCGTTGGGGGTGAGGGTGGAGGCGGGGGCCGGGGGTGGGGGGGTTGGGTGGGGTGGACGGGTGGGCATGTGTCTCTGTGTGTGGGCTCTGTGTCTATATATGTGCTGCGTGTATCTTGCGGGTGTGTGCATGTGCATCCAGCTTTCGCGACCGTTGCATTGACCAAGTGAAAGAGGAGCATGCAGCTTTGAAGCCAACAAAAATATCTTAGCTCTCCGTTCCTAAGGGATGAGCGAAGAGCGAGGTTGATTGGCATTCGCTGAAACTTGGCGTCTTGGGCTGAATCCTCCAGCCTCTGCACAAGAAGCCATCGCAGCCTGAACGTAGCTTTCAAAAGGCTCATTGCTAGACTGGTCTTGCCCTGTTTCACGGCCAGTGACACCGAGATGTTTGGCCCATCTTTTATCTGGACAGCAGAACAGCTGAAAGGCAGCCATGAACAACTCCAGTTCCGCAAAAGTCCAGGGACCTGGAAGATCAAACCAATCCTATCCATCGCTCCCTTGGCATGATTCTGGCCTTTGTAAGCCTCTCAACTGCTTGCAGCAGCTGGGTCTTCAGCCTAGCCAGCATGCCGGCACGGGCACGGTCTTCTTCTAGGCAGCAGGTCATGCAGGACTGCTCATAAAGTCACTTGGCAGGGAGCGGGTGTACAAACTTTGCGGGTGTTGGGTGCTAAGCAAAACAAGTGGAGGTCTGGGTAGCAAACAACCAAACAATCGTGCTCGCTCAAAAACGCTTCAGGGTGCTCCCAAGCAGCAAGTTGTTCTCTGCACTTTGAAACACCAGGCGGTTAGTGCATCAGGGAAACCAAACTTCTGCATGTCAAACATGATTCGTCGTTGCTGTGACGTGGCATCGGCAGGTTGGGTCTCTCCCTGCACTTCAATTCGCCGGCGCCACATCCTCCCTGTCGCCAAGTGTTGAACCTTGCGCCGCAGCGAAAACGGGGTGGAGCATCATGAGTTGTGCATGCAGACCTGGTAGAACAGCTGAGGCAAACCAAGCAATGATCACAAAAACCCAAATCGTACCCCCAGTGAACATCCCAATCCCCACTAAAATAAAGCCTAAAACGGGTGGTGAATTCACCTATCCCAAAATGGTACCATTGGTTCTGAACCATGGCCATGATTGCTTTGAGTGATTCATCCTGCTCAATGGCCTGACCATCGTCCAAAGCCACGCCTTATCCTGAAGCAATCGCAGCACACCATCCTGAAAGAAGGCCTCGGTGGTTGAAATATGGGTTTTGGCGAGGATTCAGCGCAACTCAGGCGCCGTGTTTGTCTCAGATTGCTTGGAAGACAACACCACTGACGTATTAAACAATCACATTGGCCCCTTCCATCTGCAGTACAAGTATAAGTCCATGAGTGCACAAGGATACCATCCATGAGTGCACAAGGATACCAGCCTCTGCCCCGGGGACAACCGCCAGCTTCAGGAGCAATCGCGCCACCTCGAAACGCGCAAAGAATCTGCTAAAGCCAAAAAGCAAGACATGCTTGAAACTCGTCGTTGCACGTTCGCTGAATCACCGACCGTGATCTGCCCCATCTGAGCCGGCCGCTTGGCAGGACACCTCGAAGCAATTTACCTGCCGACGCGGGGTCCATCTTCTTTTTGGGGAGGGGGGGCCGCATTGGAACATATAACTCACGGAGCAAACAAAATGCAATGCGCGCATGCATGCGTGTGTGTGTGTGATGTGTGTGTGTGTGTGTGATGTGTGATGTGTCATGTGTGTGTGTGTGTCACTCTTGGTAGCTGATTCCACGTGCTCCCTGCCTGTGCAATCTTGCCAAATGCATTCACAAAGAATGTGCGCACGCTGCAAGCAATAATGAGAAGAGTTGGCTCCATCGCCTGACAAGCTGAATCGGACGCAGGCATCACCGGCCTCAAGGAGCCTTTTGACTGCACAGCTCGCCCCTTTAAGATGACCTCAGGCGCTGTGAGACATGAAGCGCCTTCAATGCCACGCTTGATATGCAAACCAGTGAACCATGCCATGAATCGAAACACACACACACACACACCACACACACCAACCGAGCAAGCCAACCAATAAACAAACACATCACAAACAAACACACAAACAAAGAAACAAACCATTGGCATGCAAAACAAATCTCACCGTTGGGGGACTCTGGTCGCGTTGCGATGAACCTGGCAACTGTCTAATCGGCCCCGTGCAGAGCTGCTCCACAACGCCGGTGTCCTGGCATTAAGGTCGAAGGAGAGAGCAAAATGGCTGTGGTGGTCAAAACCGTTTTGGGATCCCATTTTGGTTGGTAGGTGAATGCACCTTGGGGGATTGGGTGATTTCACCACCATTTTGGGGATTGGGTGAATTCACCACCATTTTGGGGATTGGGTGAATTCACCACCATTTTGGGGGATTGGTGAATTCACCACCCATGTTAGAACCTATTTTAGTAGGGATTGAATCGGATGCTCACTGGGGATACGATTTGGATTTTGACCCATGGCCAAATGCTCTGGGCTTGTCAGCTACAAGGGCATGAGTTGTAAATTAGGCACCCGAACTGGACGTCAAAATTCGGTGGGGATTCATGTCTACCAATCACTTTTCAGGTGGTTCGATTGTTAAAACTCATGGCCACATCAAGTTCGCAGCGGTGCCCAACTTGTGATGGAGCTGAAAGGCCATCTCACGCTGACACTGTGGCAGCCAGGTCACCACCCCCCCTCATCTGAGACATGTCCATGGGTCGAAACCCAAATCGTGCCCTCAGTGAACATCCGAACCAATCCCCACTAAAATAGACCAAAATGGATGGTGCACCCAATCCCCAACATAGGATCCCGAAACGGTGTTGACCGGCCAAATCTGAGACATGGAGCTTCTTCACCCCTCTCCTCGGCCGCAGCGGCCAAACCAGCCGCGGCCTCCGCCTGGCGGAATGGCAACCGAAGCGCTCCATGCTTGCACCACCTTGCACTCAATGGCTCGAGAGCACTTGTACCATGCACAGCCTTCGCCTCCCTAAGGTGAGCCATAATCAGAACCCGGTAATCAAAGTGGTGAACCCAGCACCATGCTTCAAGAATTAAGAAGGCGGATATCCGCAGCTATTTATGGCTAAGATTGGCCCTAACCTTCATCTACCCGGGTTTTGAGCACGTGGCTCAGGTGAGTTTTACTTTGCCATTAGAAAAAAACGCTGTCATGCGGTCACCTCCCTAAGGCGAGTTTTACTAACCACTTTCGCCACTTCGAAATACCCAACCCCAGGCACAAACTTGCTTTGGGATCTGTCCCTCGGACAGCAAGTGAAACGGCAGCTGCCTTGTCTATCTGTGGCTCAAAATTAAACAGCTGGTGTTCCGCAGGTGTAGACCCTTTGTTTCCACATACCAAGGTGCCATTTGGGATTTTTGAGCCACCGTCTGGCAAAACACGCCAGAGCTGTGCTTTTGCAGATTGCCAAAGCTCAGATCCGCGCATCGAGACATGAGCAAACCTCACGTAAATATGGGTGTGGGTCAGAATTTTACCACTAGGGGACCGCAGCTTTTAGTCCATGTTTCCATTTACCAGGGTTCAATTTTGGGTACCTTTTCTTGACCCATAGCCATATGTTTCTTTTGCGGCGTTTGCACACCCGGGAATGTTCCCAATTGGTAGCATCAAAAGAGATCAATTGGTAGCATCAAATCGAATCAATTGGTAGCATCCAATTGGTAGCAAATATGACAAGGATTGAAAAAGTGTCCGCCTTTGCTTCGGTGTCTTCGGCATTGTGAGCCTGGGCGCAGACATGCATGGCCAGTGCTGCGCGAGCATTGCACGTCCAGCACCTCTCTAATAGCACCCGAACCTTAATTTGGTTAGCCGTTGGTCCAATAACTGGAGCTGGGGCTGCTCTGATGCCACCCTGTCATTGCACACACTATGTGCGAAGACTACATGGCATTCCCACATAGCAGCCTTTCTGCTGTGCCAAGCACAGCGAAATGCCCCTTCCTTCGAACAAACATGCGCCAAAACGAAACAAGGCATGACCGGCCCGAAGCGCGTGTTGCCCTTCAAGCTCTGCCAAAACCTCTCCATCGCCTTGAGGCAAGCACAGCCTCGACGAGTGGCTGCAAGTAAACGTCTGTGGCCTTCAAAGAGCGCCGAGAACATCCCCAGGGCTGTTCGAAGCTACTGGTCTTCCAAACATTGCAGAAACTCGCAAAAGCCTGAGGTTAGCAATCAAGAAACTTAGAACAACACACTCTGAAGAGTCAACAAGGCCTACTCTGGTCTGCCACTCAAAGGGAAATATATATATATATATATATATATAAATGGCAAGCGCCCGAACAGGGTGAACGAGCCTTCGCCGCAAGTGAAACAGAGGGTGGTCGAGAGGCCGAGGAGCTTGCCTCGATCGAAGCAAAAGCACACCTGACTTTTCGTCGGCACTCCTACTCATTGATTTATTTGGGTGTGGATCAAAATAAATGAATGGGTTGCCTCCGCAGAGACGAATTCAACCTGCGGTCCATATCCTAGTGGCTTCACTTTTTACCCATACCCGATTGACATCATCGCTTGCTATCACCTCTGGCATTCGCTCAGGCCAGTACTGGAGTGGCGAGAAGATGCTGCTTTAGCAGTCGAAACCTAAAGACGTGCAGCCTGAAAAGTCTCTCGTGGGTGGGAAAAAAGGGGGTGCTCAGTTCCTACATGGGGGCTGGGGGGAGGGAGGGGCCCCCCCAGCCCCCATGATTCCTATGTAGAGCTGCACCCCCCTTTTTCACCCACTGCACATATTTTGCGTTTTGGGGTTGCACCTTCATATCTGTTCGCCTCCCACGGACATGGAACCTGACCTTCGGGGGGTCCCGGCTTGGACCATGCTCCTTTTAAAGGGACCCCGTGTCAGGTTCTATGCTACTTGGTGTAGTCAGTGTAGTCCTTCAGAAATATCGCTCAAGCAATGAAAGTCCTCAAGTTCGGACTCCTTGCACTCCATAGAGCCCCCACACTTCACTGCACTCGCCTTGGGCCGAGGCAACTCGCTGAAAGCAAGGCCGTCGCCCCTCACACGATGGACGAGGATTAGAATCCTGTCATCACCGTCCTGATAGACCTCGGCTTGACCCTGAGTGAAGTGGAAAGGTCTCAGGTACCGCAAAAATAAACAGCACTCACAATGCCAAAAAAAAAATGCCATGCAGAACATCACTTCAAAAAAATGGGCACTCCCCGGTCCTCAGAAAAAGCCCCTTGATATTCCCCAGACTCAGGTGCTGGCGCGGATCTTGATCTCGCAAACGAGACCACTGCATAGGACTTGCGCCTTCGCCTCAACTCGATGGCGCGGGGCGCGTCAGGGGACGTCCAAATTTTCGAGGCATGGCATCCACGGGCCAGCTGCGCCGAGGGAATTTCAGGAAGCCGCAAAAAACAAAGAAACATCGGCTCATCCGACAAGCTCTTTAGCCTAGGGAGACGCAAAAAACACAGAAAAGCGTCTCATCAGACAAGCTCGTTAGCCAGAGATGGCTGATCTGCGTACATTCCTGAAGCACAAACCTTTGGACAACGCAAACCAGCTTTGGTGGTAAGCGCACAGTCACTCTGAGTCGGGCACTGACAAGCTCGTTAGCCAGAGATGGCTGATCTGCGTACATTCCTGAAGCACAAACCTTTGGACAACGCAAACCAGCTTTGGTGGTAAGCGCACAGTCACTCTGAGTCGGGCACTGTGAATTTGAGTCTGTTGACCTCACAGGAATCTCAGAATGGTGCAGGGCTCGCCCCACGGCGAAGTGGAAATGTGTTGCTTCGGACTGTCATGGTTTCGGAACATGTAGCAGAGGCATTCCAACACGATGATGATGATGATGCTGATGATGATGAGGTGGGGGAAGAGGAGGAGGCTGATGAGGGTGATGAGGACGAGGGTGATGAGGATGAGGAGGGTGATGAGGATGACGAGGGTGATGAGGACGATGATGATGGCGATGACTACGACGATGATGATGATGATGATGATGACGACGACGACGACGATGATGATGATGATGATGATGATGATGATGATGGTGACGATCCGATAGAATCGACCAGCATGTCAAAGCGATTCGAGAATACATTGAAGTGCTGAATTGAGGCAGCCAAACAAAGCACAACTGCTTCTCGAACTGCCACAAAAGTGCCTGCTCGAAGAGTAAAACGGCCCATTAAACGGGCTAGCATTGAAGAAAAAATGTGTAGAAGCAACTTTTCAGGGTGGTCAGTTGTTGTTGAATTGCATGTTAAGCTTGTGCACTATGCAATCATGTATTCTGCATTGCCTGATTTCTGCGATCGAGATGGATCCATCCAAAAAACCCTCAATCAGCGAGCACGTGTGCACACAATACTCAAATCCAAGCTGACATGCGCCATTGGAAGCCATCAATCCTTTGGCGTCGGCGCTTTCCACAGATGGTAACTTGCCAAGCCTTTGTGATGTTCGCGTCATGCAATTCCAGGAAGTCCAGCCTCAGCGTGAGGGCCTTCCTATAGGAAGGCACACAGAATACCAATGCCGGCATGCTGATACATTTTCGGAGGCATGCACAAATGCGTGTCTAAAGTCGCCCACGCCCGAAGAAATTTGATCCCTTCATGGGCTGCTAGCTCAAAAGACTGGCACAAGACAGAAAACAGGCAGCCCTAGTCAAAGTCTGGTCAAACGCATGTATTGCTTTGAGCGCCCAACAAGCGATTGCCAACTTCCCAAGACACCTGGAACCATGTTGCCACGGTGCCAGCTCATGAGAAAAGAAGATGAGTCAAGGAGAAATATTTCCTTCATCAGAACCAGCTCATCAGATAAAAGATGAGTCAATTTGACTCACCTTACGCCCACCATCGCGCACCTCGCGAGCCGACTGGAGGTGGAATGAGGTTGCCTGCAGCCGGAGACCAGCTCAACCCGTGCATTCCGAGCCAAGAGCTCGCCTCCAAGCTCGACTCTTGCGGACAGTCTGGGGGCACGTCCTCAGCACGTGCACGACTGTTTTTCACGGCTTCACTCTGACAAATGCGGAAAAAGAAAGATACACCAACATAGGTGTCCTTTTTCCCAAAAGCATCTCTGATGCTTGGGTTCTGCTTTAGGTTTTCTCTTAAGGTGCCTGGGAGCGATACAAGCTGTGACGACGGAGATAAGAAGGGATTTCCAATTCGTTGTGCTGCAGACCGGGCGTGCGATGCCGGCTGGGGGTGCAGACCGGGCGTACGAGGCTGGCTGGGGGGACGGCGGTGTGGGGCTGGCTGGGTGCGCGAGACTGGCGCGGTGGACGCTCGTGACAGGCGGAAACCGCCCCCGAGCGAGACGGGCGCGGGGCACGCTCGTGACAGGCGGAAGCCGCCCCCGAGCGAGACTGCGGAAACCGCCCGCGAGCGCGACTGGCGCGGTGGACGCTCGTGACAAGCGGAAACCGCCCCCGAGCGAGACGGGCGCGGGGGACGCTCGTGACAGGCCGAAAGCGAGACGGGCGCGGGGGGCGCTCGTGACAGGCCGAAACCGCCCCCAAGCGAGACGGGCGCGGGGGACACTCGTGACAGGCCGAAACCGCCCCCGAGCGAGACGGGCGCGGGGGACGCTCGTGACACGCCGAAACCGCCCCCCAGCGAGACTGGCGCGGGGGACGCTTGTGACATGCAGAAACGCTCGTGACAGGCCGAAACCGCCCCCGAGCGAGACGGGGCGCGGGGGACGCTCGTGACAAGGGGAAACCGCCCCCGAGCGAGACGGGCGCGGGGGACGCTCGTGACAGGCCGAAACCGCCCCCGAGCGAGACGGGCGCGGGAGACGCTCGTGACAGGCCGAAACCGCCCCCGAGCGAGACGGGCGCGGGGGACGCTCGTGACAGGCCGAAACCGCCCCCGAGCGAGACGGGCGCGAAGGACGCTTGTGAAAGGCCGAAACCGCCCCCGAGCGAGACGGGCGCGGGGGACGCTCGTGACAGGCCGAAACCGCCCCCAAGCGAGACGGGCGCGGTGGACGCTCGTGACAGGCGGAAACCGCCCTCGAGCTGGCGCGGTGGACGCTCGTGACAGCCCGAGCGAGACTGGCGCGGTGGACGCTCGTGACAAGTGGAAACCGCCCCCGAGCGAGACGGGCGCGGGGGACGCTCGTGACAGGCCAAAACCGCCCCCGAGCGAGACGGGCGTGGGGGACGCTCGTGACAGGCCGAAACCGCCCCGAGCGAGACGGGCGCGGGCAGGCCGAAACCGCCCCCGAGCGAGACGGGCGCGGGGGACGCTCGTGACAGGCCGAAACCGCCCCCGAGCGAGACGGGCGCGGGGGACGCTCGTGACAGGCCAAAACCGCCCCCGAGCGAGACGGGCGCGGGGGACGCTCGTGTAAGGCCGAAACCGCCCCCGAGCAAGACGGGCGCGGGGGACGCTCGTGACAGGCCGAAACCGCCCCCGAGCGAGACTGGCGCGGTGGACGCTCGTGACAAGCGGAAACCGCCCGCGAGCGAGACTGGCGCGGGGGACGCTCGCGAGCGAGACGGGCGCGGGGGACGCTCGTGACAGGCCGAAACCGCCCCCGAGCAACTTAAGACTGGCGCGGTGGACGCTCGTGACATGCGGAAACCGCCCGCGAGCGAGACTGGCGCGGTGGATGCTCATGACAAGCGGAAACCGCCCCCGAGCGAGACGGGCGCGGGGGACGCTCGTGACAGGCCGAAACCTCCCCCGAGCGAGACGGGCGCGGGGGACGCTCATGACAGGCCGAAACCGCCCCCGAGCGAGACTGGCGCGGTGGACGCTTGTGACAAGCGGATACCGCCCGCGAGCGAGACGGGCGTGGGGGACGCTCGGGACAGGCCGAAACCGCCCCCGAGCGAGACGGGGCGCGGGCGACGATCGTGAGAGGCCGAAACCGCCCCCGAGCGAGACGGGCGCGGGGGACGCTCCCTGAGCATCGGCTATTGATTCTGATCAATCAAAAACAACTTTTTTTTATTGATATTGATTTGGATTGTTTTAATTGATTTTTTCAATTAGAAGCTGGACTGCCAAGACTTTTACCGTCTATTGATATTTTTGGCTGATTTCGATGTATTTCCTATTGATTCACACTTTGCGTTTTCTATTGATTCCAATGTCCAGTTTGCAGGTCGTGAGCTAGCGCAATATAGTTATAACATATATATATATGTACATTCACATTCACTCCGCGGCTGTGAGACTTTGGCTCCAGCCCTTGACAAAAGGGCGCCTCTTCCGCAGACTCTGGTCCGTTGCCGTCAGCCCTTGACAAAAGGGCGCCATGGCCTTAGTAGCAGGCAAAGGCGGGGCCCGGCACTTCTCAAAGCCAAGGGTGGACGCTGACATCTTGTTCAAGATCTTGTCCAACCACAGCGATCTGCTGTCTGACCTTGGCCCGTACGAAAACGTGAGCAGGACTCAAGCCTGCAACCCAAGTGGCTTGCTGCATGTGCTGGGGCTGGTCAGGGCTCTGGTGCAAGCTGAAAAGAGCTGCGAGATACATCAGAGCAACCTGAGAGCAGCGCTGACCAGAGCCTACCAGCAAGACCCTGCTCTAAACAAGACGAAATTCAACGGAGGAGTTTGGGTGGGAATGAAAGTCGAACAGCTGGGCGTGATCCTTTTCCACATGAGACGGCTGAAAAACGCAGAAGCAGACCTCAGGACTTGCGCGGCCAGGCTCACAAGCGCTGAGCTCATTCAGCTGCAAGATGTGCTTGGCCTTATTGACAAAAAGTCAGCTTGCCCTCCAGCCTTGGACACCGCCGACAAAACCCTTGCCGAAAGGGATGCCCAGGCCAAAAGGCTTAAGAAAGAAGTGAGCGATGTGTCAGTTGACGCCGAAGGGTTCCCCACGTGCTGGCTGACGCCTAAGGAAAAAAAAACCGTCGAGACGGGCAGCCCCTTGTCAAAAGGGGAAGAGGAGCCCTTTCCCGCAGCTCATCCCTTGGACGATGGGGAAGAGGAGCCCTGCGCAGCTCATCCCTTGGCAAAAGCGGAAGCTGCAATGGCGCAGCCTCTCAAAGAGCCTTCCTTTTTAAGGAGAAGGCTGGGGTCGAAAGCTCACGCAAAACCTGCTGCCCCCCCACCTGGCACTGATCTGAAAATGCGCATGGGCCTTGTGTCGAAGAAGCCTGCAGCCCTTGCTAAAAGGGCCAAAGAGCGACCAAGCGCCCAGCAAGATGTCACCGCAGCAAGTGAGCCCAGCAGTGGTGCGAGGCTGCCTTGGCTCAAGCTCCAAAAGGTAAGTGCTACCAAGCCAGAGAGACAATACATTACAGGCACAAAGGAGCCAGGAAGCAAGAAATTGAAATTAGTGGTGGAAGTCACCAAGAAGCGGTCTAGCAAATTTGCTCAACACATTGACACCATCATGAGCAAAATGCGAACAAACCACTTGACAAAAGAGGAAGCGTTGCAGCTTAGGGAGGAGCTGTGCCAGCAGGACTGAGCTGGCCTAACTCCTTGCCAAAAGGAGTTTGCCAGGCCCAACTCCTTGCCAAAAGGAGTTTGCCAAGCCATTCCAACTCCTTGCCAAAAGGAGTTTGCTAAGCCATTCCAACTCCTTGCCAAAAGGAGTTTGCAGGTCAGCCCAACTCCTTAACCAAAAGGGCCGCTTCACCCCTTGCCAAAAGGGGCCCCTTGCCAAAAGGGGGCATCATCCCTTACCCGAAAGGGCCGCCTCACCCCTTGCCAAAAGGGAGCATCAGCCCTAAGCGTGTCGTGCCTGGACACATCCCTTGCCAAAAGGGGCATAAGATCATCCCTTGCCAAAAGTGCGAATCATGTCTCACCTAGACATACGGCCGAAAACATAAAGTGAAAAGGCTCAAGGCTGCTACTGCAAATCAGTGCTATGTCACAGCCCCCCTACCACACACTTTGCTTTTTAATGCACACTCCCAAACAAAAATAGCACGGGGTCTGACGTTTTGCTTGCTTTCACGCTTGCCCTTGTCCCATGCCTGGCGCGCACGTGCATGCATGACCGCAGCTGTTTTCTTGCTCAAGCCCGACCGCTAGCTGAGCCCCTCGTCAAAAGAGGGCCCAATTCGCAACACCTTGCCAAAAGGTGAGAACACCTTGTCAAAAGGTAAGCGCGAAAGCTCTTGCCAAAAGGGCAAAGCCCTTGCTAAAAGGGCATGGCCGACTGGTCAAAGTGGGATGGAAGATATGTGGAAAAGAATAATAAGAACCGGCCCGTAGGGGTCGGGACGGTCAGCCAGGCAAGACGGGAGAAGATGAGGCAGAAGGCTTTGGCAAAAGAAGCCAAAGCCAAAGAGGAGGAAGAGGCCCGCAGGCAGCAGCCTGCTGACTCGTCCCGGGGCCAAGCGCCTGCTGGCTCAGGCCTTAACCTCGGGCCGAGCGATGCGCAGAAAGTGAAAGAAGCTGAAGAAGAGCCTGCAGCAGGCGGCACTCCTTGTCAAAAGGAGGTGGTCGAAAGTAGTGCAGACTTTGGGGGCACAAGCAGCTCTTCCTCCAGCTCCTCCCCACTGCAGGAGCAGAAGAAGCAAAAGCTGGAGGAGGACAAGAAGGAGAAGCATGACCCCTTGCCAAAAGGGGAAGGCAAGCAAGACCCCTTGCCAAAAGAGGAAGGCCAACAAGACCCCTTGCCAAAAGGGGTACACCAGCAAGGCCCCTTGCCAAAAGAGGAGGCCGATGGGTGCTCAAGGCCGAGAGCCGCTTGCGGGTCATGGTGGACTGGTACCAGACCCTGGAATTGCCTGGGGGCCAAGTCCCCCAGGCGAGCTTGGAAGCCCTGCAGCTGTTGAAACAGCATGGCTTCCAAGTCTTCATAGTCAGCTTTTGCGGCCCCACGCAGCAGCGGGAGGTGGAAAGAAAAGTCAATGACCTGGGGCTGGCCGTCGATGGCCTTTTCTTCACAAGGAGGAAGGGAGGGATTGGAGGCAAGGGGGAGTGGTGCTTGAAAAACAGGATCGGCCACTGCGTGGACGACTCCTGGGAGGTGCTGGAGGACTCCTTGGCAAAAGGAG